GCACCGAGGCCACGGGTTCGGATCCTGTATAGGGATGGCCGGTGCACTCACTGGCTGAGCGTGGTGCTGACAACACCGTGCCGAGGGTTGCGATCCCCTTACCGGTCAAAAAACAAAAAAGAATTGAGCATAGAAATGTTTAAAAATCCAACTCTTAACATGAACTATTTTTTTTTTTTTTGTCTTTTTTCGTGTCTGGCAACGGATCGCAACCCTCAGTGTTGCCCCCGCACCTTGCTCAGCCAGCGAGCGGGAACCGGTCTGTATGTGGGATCCGAACCCTTGGCAGGAGTGCCACCGCGCTCCCAAGTGGCGCACTGTAGCAGTGCGCCACCGGGCCGGCCCATGAACTCTTTTTTTGAGGCAGAATATCTACACGTTTGGTATTTAAAGTGCTTGTCTGTCTAAGAGAATTTTACCTATTATAGGTACAGCCTTGTAACTTCAGCTTGGAATGTGTAATTGATCTGTGATTTTTAAGTTGGAGTTATACCAGGTTTATATCTGGGATGGGGATATTTGAAAGAATGCAACATCGATCATATTTATAAGTGTAATAAATTTAGACGTACAAACTTAAATGCTCTGGGAGTTTTGTCTAAAAATTGAAGGACTTCCAGAAGAGATTGAATGTGTTGGTTTTAGAAATGTAGTTTAAAATGTTTGAAGGCATTTCATTAACTTAGTTTGTAAATAGGACCAAACATTATTGTAAAGACCTCATAAAAGACATATCCGGAATTAAAAGTGTTGAAGGCTGAACTTAAAAGACCAAGGAAGCAGTAGGTTGCTGGTTTTGTTACCTTAATGCGTGAAATATCAATTTCCATATTCAAAATAAACTTCAGAATAGGTTTTGGCTGTTTTGGATTTTTTTTCCTTGCGCACTAAAACCAGCCTCAAGAGTTCTAAAACCTCCCACTTAACAGGTGCTAGCTATAGAAGTGAGCAGGACAGCTCGGTTCCTACCCTCAAGGATTGTGAGCTCGACAAAAGCAGCTTCTTCAGGCGTCCTGGTCATTTTGTTCACGGACAGATCTGAGTCTGGCAAACCGTTCTTACCTCCTAGGGAGGACAGAAACATAGACACGATTGGAGATGGCTGCAGAAATTTGGAAGCAGACAGAAACAGGAGCCAGAATGGAGACAAGATCAGCACTGACAGCCCCAGGTGGCCCAGGACTGGGGAGGGTGAAGCCACCTTTCAAGCTCCTCACCCAACGCCCCATTTCCCAAAAGGCCGGGAGCCGCCGCCCCCTATCTTGGCTTCTTGGCCTCTTTTCCTGTCAACAGGTGGCCCTGCCCAACTGTCTCACCCACGCCCGACTATGCCAGCCAGGCCAAGGCACCTGCCGGGGCCCTCAGACTGGATCCCCGCCAGTCTCTGCCCTGTGGCCTGGGCCCCAGGGTGAGGGGCAAGAAAAGGGGTTGAGGGTTCCTCAGCAAAGAGGCCTGAGTCTCCCCTGCCTGAAATGCAAGGCAAGGGAGACGGAGAGAAAAAAGGATACAGGAAGACAGATACTCAGGGCTAGGGATGAGAGGAGAAGGGGAGGAGAGGGGTGAAAGGGACAGAATGATGGAGATACAGACAGAAACCCAGAGGGAGACTGAGAAGCCGAGTCCGAGAAAACAGAGGCGAGAGACAGAGACAGAGAGAAAAGTACAGAGAGAGACACGGGTGCAGAAGAGCGTTAATAGAGAATCACCAACACACACAGGAGGCAGAAGGGTACTTTGGGGGGTGATAGACACGTTCATTATCTTGATTGCAGTGATAGTTCAGTGTGTGTGTGTGAAAACTCATCAGATTGTGCACTTGAAGTAAGCACAGTTTACCGCACTGCAAGTGTATCTCAAAGCACTGCCAAAAAAAAAAAAAAAAAAGCAGAAGGGGAATAAAGGAAAATAAAAGGCTTGGGAAATCTAGATGTATTTGACAAATACGGCATTCAGAACCATTAAAAAAGAAAGAATCACAGAGACAGGTAAAGAGCAAGACACAGAGACACAGAGAGAGTAGGAGAAACAGGGACAGAGACACTTGAGCCACAAAGAGAGAGAAGAAATCCTAAGACAGGGGGCGGGGGCGACACTGACACTAAGAAGGTGCCAGATATGGAGACAGACTCAGACAGACTCAGGGTGGTGGTGGGGGGGACCACAGAGAGATGGAAGGGAGGCAGGGGAGGGACTGGCTTGACTTCCAGGGACCCCTCCCCATCCCCGAGGCCAGGGAGGTAGGGAATGGCATTTGGGACTAGGTGGGGGGTGTTCTGGGGGCGGAGGTGAGGGGAGGCAGGAGGATTGATTGCTAAGGCCGACAGAGCACCTCACTACCCGGGAATGCGCCCCGGGGATCAGTGGGTGGTTATAACCCAGGCCTAGTGCTGGCAACCGAGAAGGAGGCGTCAGCAGGAAGGCGCAGGCCTGAGAAGTCTGTGGCTGAGCTGGGAGCGGGTCCCCCACCCCCTACCTGGGGGACTAAGCAGGTGAGGCCCGGAGAGGGGAAGTCAGCAGGCAGGGAGGGAGAGGTGTCTCTGTGTCTGGAACCCCGTCTCTCTCTCTGTCCTCCCTCCTGACCCCACCTGGAGGCTGCTGGACTTCATTTCCTCTGAACTCTGTAGTGTCTGGGTCTCAACTCAGCGTTGATGGAGGGACAGTGTCCGTGTGGTCCCTCTCCACCCTGGGAAGTCAGGTAGGGGAGGAAGGGGAAATGGGTTAAGGCTCTTAGAATCACCTGGGCCTCCCCACCCTTTGACGTCCCTCCAACCAGGTGCAGCTGCCATGGTTACAGCAGGACCGTCCTGGATGTGCATGCTCAGTGTTCTGCTCACAGCCCTGATTCTGGGGGTCACAGGTAACCAGAACTCTCGTGTGTGTGTGTGCGTGCACGACTGTCTGGAGTGCCTGTCCCCTGGAAAATTAAGTGACACTGGGTATGGTTCCACAACTGGGTGAATGTGAGTCTGTGTCTGTATTTGTGGTTGCATGATTTTGTGGGGCCATGTGACTGCCACCTTGAGTGTGTGGGAATGGAGGATGGGTGCCTTTTCCCATATCAAGTGACCATGTGTGGCAGATGGAACTGACCATTTGAGGCTGTATGTGTGACTGTGTGATTGGGTGTGT